TACTTAACCTTCCTTATGACTGACCTGCACCCCAACATCCCAGATAGCATGCATAGTTTTCATCAACCTGCATTTACCTTTCTGCACGGTTATTTATATCTAAAGAATAAATATCAATATTAGGAATAGGTTTGATAGTAATTTAGAAAATAAGTACTGTTTTTCAGAAGTATATCATTTATTTAATTTTGTTAGCTTTAGCAGTAGCTTTGGGTAATTTATATCATGATGAAGTCAAAGTGGATAAATGCAACATTGTTAGTGTACTTGCTTGCGCCTCAGTCTTGAAATTTGAAAGTTTAAGCAAACGGTAAGTTAATTTTCAATTATTTTTATTGTACTTAGGGCTTTGAAAATACAAATATTGCTATACAGTATTGAGATTGCAATATATAACTGTATATACTTGTATATTATGAATACAAATTTAATATTATTTTCATTATTATTATTGTTAGTGAAAACTGTTATTACTAATGATATTAAATTACTATAGTAAATTTTTTTTTATGTTAATATTTGTAATAGAAATTTCTTAGCTTTCTTAACTTTATTTTTATATTTAAAATATATTGTTTTACTATTGTATTTGTAAAATGTATTTAATAGTGAATAATTTTTGTAATTGAAATTTGTTGTTGGTTGTTAAAGTTATACCATGGAGGAATACGTTTAGAATCTTAATTTTCTAGTCTTTAATTGACTCTCAGTTTACTTACTATAATTATTACTAATTATTATTATTACTTATTATAATTATAATGTATCTGTAATTGATTAGTCATTTGACTATATTGTGTTTTTTCAGTGATTCATGTTTGTTTTTTGTATGTTATTGTAGTATTTTATGCTACTGCTTTGTATGTTTTGTTTTTATATCTTAAAATAAAATAATATTGTAAAATTCCACTTCAAGATGTGAGCAAATGATGTTGGGTCATGTGCATGCTAGCACAGTCTGTTCGTATCACTTTGCTGGTGTCAAGGTATTTAACAATTCATTCAAAATGTTTATCAATTCTTTTTAGATATCTGTATGTCAAATCTTCTTGACAAATTCTTTAAAAAATTATTTGACTTTCGCAGCTTAGATGGTTATATCTGCATTAACTATATTGCTCATGTTTAGGAATGTTTTTGTGAAGATACGTATGCTTTTTATGTGGTCTGTAGATCACAACTTCACAAGCTTTTGCTTGGGGACTAGTGTTTTATTCATAACCAAAAATTGAGACCTACAGTATAATAGTTACATGTGTCATTCTTAATTACCATGTTGAGATTCAATATTTTGAAAACCCAGATTCACACAAATATGCTGTAGTACAAAAAACATGGCCAAAATACTAATTTCAGGGCATTTACTTACATTCAAAATTTTCCCAATAAGGGTTCACTTATCTGTGAATTGGTTTTTGCATTGGTCTTTGGGAAAATGTGTATCAAGTGCTTGTCATTAATGCGAGTAAGATCAATGCATAGATAAGAAAATGTTGATATTTTTTATGCATGACCGAACTGGTAACCCAACCATAGGAAAGTTAAGCAACCCATTTTTTGGTTGCACCCCATGTTTGGGAAGCATGGATGTGGAGAAAAACAAAACATATAAATATATATTTCTATTTGTCATTAGTACAAGGTTGGTAGCATTGTGACAGCATGTGAACGGTGGTTGGAACTTAATTTGATCCCACTTGTAAGTATTTTTTGTTATTAATAAATCCGTTGTTTGTCATTGATAAAGCAGCAAAGTGGTTCAGAAATAAACAATGTATTTCACAGGTGGGCAGAATGCGGCACGCCGGCCCATCAGTGATTTTTTTGCGGCCCGCGACAATGAATTAACGGTCCGACACCAATCATATGTAAAAAGTAACATTGAAGCTGAGAATAAAGTAATGTAAAAGCAGTGCTTGGAGGTTTTTGGAAGTTTGGGTGCGGCCCTCGGTGTTTAATCAAAAATTCACTTTGGCCCTCTGACTGATTTTTATGCCCACCCCTGATGTATTTGAACACTAAAAAAGAAAATTCAATGTAATGTAGTTCTTCATATTGTAGTTTTTGTGTTGGACACACTAACCGAAATACTAATTATTTAACGGGCGTATTGCTATAAAATGGTCTTATATACAGCTAGTTTTAACTCTTGCATAGACAGTCTTACCATAGATATTCACCTCTTAAATAAAACATCAGATTTTGCAGAAATTATCTGCCAGATAAGAAGCAAAATGTGGTATAATAGTAGCCAAATTAAATAGTATCCAAAAAACTATATACTGTACTGGTATGTCCTAGTGTCCTTAACGACAGATGGGTAAAAGCATTTTGGAAATTGTTGTTGACTGCTTCTTTTAAGTCTAGATAGTAGCATTTACAATTGACTGACCTTGTGTTGATCATGAATCAGCAAATGATGTTTTCAATAGTCTGCTATTCCATAAAAGAGAATTGAGTGAGATTGTCTTTTAGGATAACCTAAATGAGGCTGTAAGCGAGATACAGAAACCGGTTGTCTGAATATTTATTTAGAAACATATCATGTAAACTGAGCCCCATGGGTTGTTTTTCAAAAGGTCCAATATAAAACAACAATAACATTGATACCAATGTTCACCAAATCCTCAGAGTGCCTTAGGTGGCATGGTAGTAGAGTGATCAGTGTATGTAGGCTTAATGTGTATGCCATGGTGATGGTGTCATTTGATTGTATTTTTCAGTTGTCAGTTCAGATTCACTTAAGAGAGCTGCCACTCATCCTTCTGCAGAGGTTACTCAAATCAAGCAGGTAATAACTCTTAAAATACCAACAAAATATCAAGAATTCTTTTGAATAATAGAGCAGAGTATTATGAAAATTCTATTGTATAAAAAAGGCACTTACCAAAAGCTCTGAAGCAACAAAACAGAACCCTTGAAGGTAACTATTTTTTGTATAATATTGATTTTGTTTCTCTTCAGGCTATTTGTCTGCAATGAATATTATGTGTACAAACTGCTGTGTTACTGGATCTTCCTGCAGAATCATCCACAAGTTATGCTCATGCCATCACACAATACTGTAGTTACTTATTTCAACAGGTATGCTATTAGCAGGTAGTGGTGATGATCAAATATAGGAAACATGATCAATTGAAATGAATTGAAGTAATATTCAGGGATCGTGAGTTGGAAGAAGTCACTTCTTGAAGATCTGTTTATGAGCTTTCTTTAACATATTAACTTTATTTTTCTGTACATGGTACCCATTGCCAGCTGACTTCATGGAGACAATTGATAATACAGTAAATCTGCAACATTTAATTCTACCCCCTTTTTTTTTTTTCCAAAATGGCATATTAGTGTTTATTAATATTATTATTATTATTATTAAATATAATGAATTTGCAGGAGATCAGTTAATTTCTGGGAGATTTTTGCTTTCTCATGTGAGTGCGGGAGACCGTCTCAGTTTCTATAAGACTACCATGACTCGGGAGGTTTGTTGCATAATTTGACCTCTTTTTTATAATAGAATGGATATTCCCTTTTTTGCAGTTTACCTAAAACCTGTGCATACATAGAACGTGAGGATGGTCAGGTATACGCAGGACTGTTCATGTCATTGCGAATGCACGGTATCACTGACACTCGAAGTTTGGATGATATGGTACGCATGAATGTGATCCCTCAAGCCTGGGTTTTGACGATATTGAGCCAGCACTACCAGGCCTTGCAAGGTGGAGGAGATATGTCGTTGATGCTTAACTTTGGTAATGATGCTATTAGGACTGGTTTTGTCATTGAGCAGGTAAAAAGTAGTGTATTAAACTTTACAATCATATTCTATGACTTCAACTTTCTTTTTCCTAAGCATTCAATCAATCAATCAATCAATCACATCTTCAGTATTGTAAGGGTTCTGTTCTGTCAATTTAAGCTTCATAACTCCATACGATAGTCTAATACATACTCCAAGTATCGAAATGCGCACCACCGTGTCGGGATTCAATATTTCCACATTAATTATGTCATCATCAACTCATCATCATAACTCCATACCATTTGTACTATTTTCATTAACACTCTGCCCGCCAAACACAGAGATCTCCGTCTTTGGTTTACACAACATTTGACCGCCAAACACGGAGATCTCTGTGTTTCAGGTTTTTTACGGAATTCAATAGATGGGGTATTTACCGACATGTACTAACAATTATAACACTATATTCAGTCTGGACCATAAGTATTTCGCTATTTCAATGTGACCTATTCTCAGTGAAAACGAACACGACAGACTCAAATGAGTGCAAAAATTTGTTGTCCCAAAGAGGTCTTAGTAACCCATCAAATTAACTTAATAGATGCCCTGTCATATATTCAGTATCACAGCTACTGTACGAATTTGTCTTTTACTGGATTTTTCGCTATTATTGGATCATCTATTGACGTTTTTATCCAATTCTACGCTAGGCCCCTACTAGCAGTGATTGCGCATTGTTTGTTGTTCAAACGAGCGGACTCCGTTGACCAACCGGTCATTCACCTTGCTGTCTTTCACCTTACAGTCGTTGACCTCAAGAAGTTTTCGTTATTCATGTATGGTATATTATACGGATATGTATGGTATACGTTAACTTCTATGCTGTTTATAAACATTTAGTGAATCAATCACGGGCACACGCCAGATCTGACTTGTCTATCTCACAGAGCATTTTTGTTGCACTTTTTGATTTGAAACAAAATGGCAGTTTGTACATTCAATCACCCACTGTCATACACACTATGTGTTTTGACTTGGCTTCTATGTACATCATATCTCGAAACATATAAAATGTGTGTGCAGGGTAAGCAGAAATATAGTGCAAATTACTGCTGCAAGGAAACTGTCATCACTTATACTAAGCACCGCTGGGTTCACTCTAACTTTCATTTTTGTTTAGCCAATTGGCTAAAGCTAAAAAAAAAAAAAAATTTAGCCAATTGGATATTTGTTTAGCCAAAATTGGCTAAAATGTTAAAAATTGTTTTAGCCACTTATCAGGCACTTAAATGGCCCGAGTGAAGTTTCGTGCAAATGTTTCATACAGAAAAAAAAATCGCGGCCTGGTCATTGACATTGAAATCATTCAAGCATTCAAGGAAAAAACCCCCAAGCTCGAAAGCCATTATTTAGCCGACAGTCGGCTGCTTTAGTTCTGCTGTTGTGTGTGCACTTGGGCATTTGAGGCACGCTAACAGCCAGCCGACCGTCGTGAACATAGAAATTACAGTACAGACAGGAATTACAGTACTGCTTCGTATCTGCGCGTAACCTCTCGTAGGTTATGTTTTGAACGTAGCTACGAACCACTATGAAGGTCATTGTTATCTTAGTTAGCTTTGCAAACTTTGTATGGATTGTTGGGCTGATAAACAATGCGTAAACAATATTGATATATAGTTTACCAGCTTTCAGCACGTGAACAATGTTGCAATTTATGGCCTACATTTTCCCATAGAGGAGGACAGCAGACAGTAATTTATACTGGTTAACTTTCCAATTCGGAGAATTTTGATCTGATATTGTTCTGGTAGTAGGAACTTTCTTCTTTTAAATAGTAATACTGATGACAAATCATGTACAAATTATTACGATTTCTACTTAAAGATCACGTTGTTTATTGTTTACCGTAATTTGAGGCAGAACCTGCTAAGCTATCCAATACTAATGAACTACAGAAATCACTACTTTGCCGAAGTAAGGCTAGTCATGCTAGACCGCATTTTCTTCGTCTTTTACTCACTGTCGCTCACAGATTTTCAACATTTGCCACAAGGTTAACCTTTAACACACTTTACTGTGTTCTGATTGGCGCGCACTATGTCCGATGCTGGATTTTTGGGGTTGACAAGATGAACTGGCATTTTGCCAAGTTTTATTTTCCATTGGTTTTACATGTGACATTCGGTCATTTTACAATTAACGGATGTTAACTCTCTCTATACTTATTGTTTATCATACTAAATCAAGGCTACAAAGTATTATTTGATGAACAATCTTTTCACGTGTGTGCATTGTCATTGAGGGCATCTTTTTTAACAGTTAAAGAGGTAAAATAATTGTGAATAAAAAAAATAGGCTAGCCTAGGCCAGGCTAATTAATTAAAATAAAAAATTCAGAAGTCAATTGTACATTTTTCTTATTGAAAAAAAACTCCATACTTTTAATAAATTAACGGTCTAAACTTGTGTTTGTCATTAACAAATTATCAAGCAATACATTGTTTATACTGTATCAGGCTACGAAATATCTACGAAGCCTGCACGCAGGTAAAAACGCAGTATTTTGTGTCGGTACTGTTACGTTACCATCCAGCCACTGCTTGTTACGCTGCCCACTTTAAAATAACAAAATAATTTGCGATGCACACAGTGAAGTTTGTAGTCACACTAATAAAACAACACACATAAACGTCGCATGGCACTCTGGCAATGGAGTAGCGTAAAATGGAGATCTTGGCCTTGATTGTGCCGACAGAAAAATATTTCCATGGAGAGGTCGGACGAAAGAAACAATGTATTTTAGCAAGTATTTAAAAAAAACATTTTTATTATTTTTAAGCTTTCGCCAAAATGGCTAAAGTAGTTGTTTTTTGTTTCGCCAATTCAAAATTGTTTTCGCCCATGGCGACTTGGCGATCGGTTAGCGTGAACCCAGCACCGTAAGATTATGAATATTCATCGTTTCAAGTATTCCACTCCATTGTTTGTATTATAGCGCAAACATACCGCCACTTTTGACGTTTACATCAAACTTTCTTGGGATATTCATCCAAACCCTGGCCCCGGTCCCTCAACAAATATGCATTCAAACAACCGAAATACAGCTTCCACAAGGTCCAAGCCTAGCATGTTATATTTCAACGCACATAGTCTTGCAAACAAGTTAAGCGAACTCCAAGTAACAATTTCTACAGAAGCTCCTAGTTTAGCCTTCATAACTGAAACCTGGCTTGATACATCTATATCAGACTCAGAGCTGTTACCCATGCAGCAGTATGCTATCTTCCGTAGAGACAGGAATCGGTATGGAGGAGGAGTTCTTATTGCTGCCCACAAAGATCTTCATCCTGTTTCGGCCCATCAGTATGATGTTGATGGAATTGAAGTAACATGATCAATAGTTTATACAAAAAAGGGCAAAATCTTAACTGGTTGTTTATACCGTCCTCCTAACGCTAACATTTCATTTTTTGATAAACTTGAAACATGCACCTTTATCATAAGCGTGATTCTTGCTGGTGATTTTAATATTGATAAGTTTAGATCACGTAGCTTATACAATAGACTTGCTTCCATTTTAGATATTTTAAATTTTACCCAAATTGTTCCTTTTATAACTAGAAGGCAAAGTGACAGAAGTAATAATGGCACCCTCATTGATCATGTATATATAAATCAAACAGATATTGTTGCTTCTATATTACCTCATCCGGGTATAACAGGCAGTGACCATGACGGTATATTCATTAGGTTTAATATTGCATTTGTAAATCACATCAATGTTGGGGGTTACTTTTTACAATACTCTAAGATAGATGTGGATCATTTTATTAAGACATTTTCTGACATCAATTGGGAACCATGCTTTCGTTCGAATGATTTAAATGGGGTGTGGGAGGAGTTTAAGTCAAAGTTTCTACGTGCTATTCATAATGTTGTTCCTAAGCGTAAGGCTAAAAGAAAACCTAAACAGCCCTGGATAACTGATGAAATAATCAAGTTTTCCAAGAAGAAAAATCGTTTGTTTAAACCAAGGACTTTTAACTGTTACCAGAATAGGAAGCTGGCTGGTTTAAGCCGTCTAACTTGAATTAGCCTTATGTGCGGTATTGTTATGCAAATGAGCCAAATAAGCACAATCTGCACATGCTCAGAAAAACAAAACTTTCCTTATCCACACTGCGTATCGGCTAGGCGTACAACAGCTAGGCCTAGCTTATCTTATTTTTGTTTGTTACGCACCGCTGACTTAGGCTGTTTATGATCACTTCAAGATGTCTACCGATTCGTGGAAAAGGCGTATTAAAATCCAAATATTGGCGTTTGTGAGCAATACATTTTAATTTTATATAGGTAAGTAGTAAGTATATGAGTAATTTTAATGCACTAGTTAGTTGATAACTTCATTCTAATTTGTTTTGGGTCTTTTTTCTGCATTTTTAAAGTGGTTAGACATGGCCTAGGCCGGGTCTAGGCTAATCACATCAATTTAAAATCAAATTTGTAGACATACTTGCCTTATATCTTAACTTGCAGGTGATTTTATTGGTAGACTAGTTTGTTTTTAAGTGTGTAAGTATGATTGATTTGCATGCCAAGTAAAATTAGTACCCTTATTTTGCTTTGTTTACCGTACCGTAATTCTCGGCTAGGCCTAGCTGTACGCCTAGCCGATACGCAGTGTGGCCATGGTGTGGCTATTGAAAGTTTTGTTTTTCTGAGTATGTGCAGATTGTGCTTATCTGACTCATTTGCATAACAATACTGCACATAAGGCTAATTCAAGTTAGACGGCTTAAACCAGCCAGCTTCCTATCCTGGTAACAGTTAAAAGTCCTTGTTTAAACGGGCAAAATCGTCATTAGACCCACATAAATGGTCACAATATAAAACATGTCGGAACAATTTGAAATCATGTATAAGAAAATCTTACCATTGTTATGTTAGAAACTTAGCTGTAAGGTGTAATGACAACGGCAAAGCATTTTGGTCCGCAGTTCAAGAGCTAAACCAACTGCTCAAAACTTCAAAATAAACAACTCATTGGTTGAAGATCCTGTTTTAATTTCCAAAACTTTTAATGATTATTTCAATTCAAATTTTACAAATGGTTCTTCAACTACATTATCTGATCTTCAAATTGATTGTTACAGGAATCACAATGGCCTCCTTCCACTCTGTAACATTCAGACCTCGCCAGCGGAAGTCCTTCAACTCATCAACAAACTAAAAACTGCTAAGGCACCAGGCCCAGATGGTGTTACATCCACAATGCTCAAAATTTCAGCTACATATATTTGTGAGCCTTTGGCCAAAATATTTAACTTGTCTCTCCAGCTGTGTGTTTTCCCCTCAGAGTGGAAGCTGGCCAGTGTGATTCCAATACATAAGAATGGTGTAATTAATGAAATCATTAATATAGACCAGTGTCTTCTGTGTTCAATTGCAAGCAAACTGTTGGAAAGAGTTGTCAATAATCACTTAATAGACCATTTAAAATGTCACCATCTTATGTCACCATTTCAACATGGTTTTGTAGCTGGAAGATCTAGCCAAACAATTCTTGGCACAGCTCATCATCATTGGGCACAGGTATTGGATGAAGGCAACCCTCCTCCAATCGATGTTATTTTTTTAGATTGGAACAAAGCGTTTGATAGAATTAGTCACAAAATTTTACTTAATAAGCTACATAATTACGGAATCTGTGGGCCTATTTTGCAGTGGTTTGTTGTCTTTCGAGGAGCATCTTTCAATACTTTAACGTGCAATCTGGTGTTCCTCAGGGGTCTGTTCTTGGCCCCATTCTGTTTAATATTTTTGTACTAGATTTGCCGTCTGATATTTCTTCACACGTTCTGCAATATGCGGACGATACAATTTTATATAGAGTCATTAGGTCTCCTGCTGACCAGCAGTCGCTCCAAAATGATTTGAATATTATTCATAATTGGAGCATAACTAACAAGATGCTCCTTAACTCATTAAAGTGCAAGTCGATGCGCATAACTAGGTCGTCAAGGCTACAAAATAATGCTCATGTGTATAATATTGGTATAAATGCTCTGACTCAGGTTAGCTCTTATAAATACATACAAATAACTTTTACTTCAAAATTGGACTGGGGGTTGCATTATTCGCAGACGAGATCTAAGGCTTCAAAATTGCTGGGGTTCATTAAACAAATCGTGCGCTATAGAAACAAAGTTGTAATTCCGAAATTATTTTGTGCAATAGTTCGTCCAATTATAGAGTATGCCATCCTCGCATGGCTGCCGCATCAGAAGGGGCATCTAAACTCTTTAGAACAAGTCCAACACAGGATGACTCGAGCCTGTGTTCCAAAACAAGAGAGGAAACTTACATATGCACGTCTTGATATTATCGGTTTAATTTCAATTGAAAAACGTTTTAAGCTTCTTACCATTTCTTTTATTGCGAAATGTTTTCATGGCTTTTATGATTTTAATATTTTTAATTACATAACAATCAACTCTAGACGCGGTGATCATCTTAAATTTGTACATCCATATGCTCGAACAAATTCTCTGAAATATTCTGTGTTTCATTTGTTTCCACGTGCTTGGGAGGAATTACCTGTAGAAACTAGGGATTTATTGGACTTGAATCTTAAAGCATTTTTAAATGATCTTAAATTATATTTTAAATAAGTTTTACAATTTCTATATATATATTTATTAAGGCAAATTTTACAGATTTTAAGTATTATTTCAATTGTTCATTTTTCTTATTTATGTGTAATCGGAATAGTACATTAAGAGACCTACATGATAGTGATTTGGTTCACTTTTAGGAATCCTGTCTCGGCCTGTTTCAGATTTTTTATGCTTTTATTTTATTGTATTATAACCAGTTGTTGTTTTTTATGTATTTTACTGAGACGAAATAAATGAAATTAAATGAAATCTCATATTGCATGGCGATACTGAAACATGGTTATTTCAGCTTCATTTTGTGATTATGCGTAAAACAAGAAAAGTGAGTCACTTTCATTTTACTGTTACAGTCACTGATTGTGATTAGAGTAAGTTTGGTGAATGTAGGTAAAAATGGCCCCATATGACAGGTAGGTAAAAATGGCCCCAATGAAAATTTCAGTAATAGGAATGATATATATATTTTTTTTAATCTTCAAATATTTAAATACTGTATAAGCAAGAATTGAATCAAGAAATAAAAAATGGCCCTCAATTATAAAATTCAAGAAAAAAATAAAAAATAAAATAAATAAATAAATGCTGTAAAATACCTTGTAGCAAAAATTTAATTATTAAATCAACATAAAGAATATGCATATTTGAGAACTAAAATAAATTAGTTTTTAGCTCCTATGAGTAGCTCTGGGAGTAGTATATTGAAAACAAGTCCAAGTATTAAATATCTATTTTTTTTAAAGAATTGGAACCTCTGGATGGCCAGAAATGACACTCTCAAGAGGGTAATTCCATGTCAAATCAACCAAAAAAAACCTCAATCTCTCGGATTTTGTTCAAATTTTTATATGTTGTTGAGGCCCATGAGAAACGATCAGAAATGAAAATTTTTTTCTCTAGGCCTCCTAATTAGCGAGATATCTGCTAACGAACTTTTGGCTAATTAGCGATACCTTGCATGTTTAACCGACCATATCTCGAAAAGTATGGCACCTACAGAGCTGATTTTGGTGTCATTTTAAAGCTATTGAGTTTA